GGGATAGAAGGGTGAGAAACCATAGCCGCCACCTGATTGAGATCTGTGTGTGTGTGTGTGTGTGTGTGTGTGTGTGTGTGTGTGTGTGTGTGTGTGTGTGCGGCAGAGGTGCTGGAGACAAACATTCTCGTATATTGATAACAATATTGGAGACGACATTTTCAAGTGTTGACTGCATCTCGATTTGGCTTCTCATTTGTGAACTCTCCTGTGAATGTTCATTGATGTATGCGAGGTTGAGCTTGACGAGTACTTTGGCTCATTTCAGTGTGCGACGGCAAGCCAGGGACTGCCCTGTTTTGTTTTTGGTCAAGGTCTGTGTGTGCCAAGTTTGGTGTTTGTTGGATTCTTAAAGATGACTGTTTTGGCCAGCCCTGAAAATCCTTAAAATCCTGAAAACTGAAAAGAGCAAATTTAGCATCACAACACACTTTTGCTGTTGCGGTTTAAGGCCCCTTCGATCCATTTCTTTCATACTTGCGGCGCAGAGCGCTCGCGCATGCATGCACGCCCACATGATTCAGCGCATCACAAAAACAAAAAGAAACGGAAGGACAGGTTAGGGTAGCCAAACATGCCCCTCGCTTCTAAAAATCAAACTACAGGAGAGAAAAAAGATGGGGCCACGTCATACCCCAAAACTGTGAGTGCATGTATGGCGTGTGGGTGTGAATGTCCTAATTGTGTCCAGTCTCTTTTCCGAAGGGCCCCTGCAGCAGGTTAGCAAGGACCCCTCGTGAAGCAGAGATAGTTGTTAGACTTCTAGTTTTGCATAAGTGGGGCGATAATATACAGTCTGGATAAGACTGGATTTGAATTCACGTCTGTGTATCAGCAGTAATGCATCACTAATTCTCTGTTATTTCATTTTTCTTTCTTAGGAATACGTGCAGTGGCCCTAAGGGCCTCTACTCACCACATGCAATAAAGACAAAACACATGGCGGCGTATTATTCCACGTTCTAGCAGAAGATTCATTCTAATTTTACACATTTGGTGAGTAGTGCAGCCAAGCCCTGAGAAACATGTGCAGACACCAACAGGGCCTAGCTAAGTGAATAACAAATAACTGCTGAAAGCCTGAAACACATACCTGAATTTGAATCCAGAGTATATATTCGGCCAGCTCCTGCTCCACTTCACACTCGTCGCCTGCCTAGATTTTGGTGGAGGGTCTATGCTAATTTGCTGTGAGGACCCTTCAGAATACCTGCACGGGCCCTCCGATATGTGTGAAAGGAATCCTTACTTCCTCTCTCTCTCTCTCTCTCTCTCTCTCTCTCTCTCTCTCTCTCTCTCTCTCTCTCTCTCTCTCTCTCTCTCCCTCCCTGTATATGCACACACACAGCCCTAAAAAAAAAATAAAAAAAATTGAGCGCATCACTAATTTGCACATGGCACATGGAGCACGTGCACCGCAGAAGTGCACCACAAGGATTTTTTTACCCTTTTTTTTTGCTGTTGGTTTATTTGGTGTCCACTCTATGGACTGGTGACAAGTCTGGCTTAAAAGGTGTGGGACGTTTGTTTTAATGACCCTGAAAAAAACCCTGAAAATTTAGGGCTCCGTTAACCGCTTCTCGATGCTGGCACCGTTCCATTCCTGAAACCATCACTTCTGAAAGATCGGGCCAATTCTTGCAAATGGAGGGGGGNGGGGGGGGGGGGGGGGGGGAACAGTGGTCATTCAATCGTCAATCGCCATACCAACTTAAAAGAGTGGGCTTCCTAGTAACCAGGGCAACCATAAAAGATAGCAGTTGTTTCGGTTAGAGTATCCTTGTGGCCAAGTTGTATGCACATGTAGCTGCTAATAAACAGATCATGAGTTCAAATCCTGACAACTACAACAACATTAAAGGATAGCTCACTTTTTAGAAAAAAGGAAAGCCCATTCTCCTCCTCGTGAATCCAACTGCACACCGGCTTGCGTTCTTCAGCATAACAAAGACAAATGAACAACTCCATCCACAAGTTCTCACAACGGACAAACACCATCTCAGACCGACAACGCAATGCCAGACGTCACACTGCCAAACCTCGTCAGAGAAGAGTTTACCAGCCTGATGTCACACTGCCAAACTCGAGAGAGTTCACAACACACACTTATTTGACTTTGCAAGTACGATAAGATGCATAACAATGACCCAGAAAAAAAGACAACTCTGGGTCTGTGCATGTTTTCTTTATCTGTTTTGCGTTTCTGTTCGGGTTTCCCACTCAAGTTCCAATCTCCCACTTCGTGGCCGTAAATCCATTAGTATCCGTTGAGGAAGACTTGCTCATCCAAAAGTACATGAAAGGGTATCTGCTGTTCCAAGTTGTGCAACTGTCATAGGTGGTAGTTTCTTTTCTGCTCTGCATATAACGGAGCATCAAAAGGGTCCAGAAACAGCAAATGGGATGGTAACTTCAGACCTACCCATCCAAAAGTATACGGAAGGTTGTTTCCAGTTCCCAGCGGTGCTGTCGCCAAAGGTGGCGGACTTGGAAGCTTGAGATCAGCAACAGTTGCCAACAACCAACCCGCAGTCCCATCGCCACCAGCAACCTGATTGCACACATCCAAACTACATCAGTCTGGCACGTGACACATTGGGTTCTCAACTTCTCACCCCTGATTCCTAATCGGCATTCAGTCCTGAGTCCTGACTGTATAGTGAGCTTCAAGGTCATCCGAGGCAGAAATATACTGAAGATTAAGACTGGACCACCTCGAACACTCATTGGGGTTGGGTGGATCACTGCGCTAACACGCACGCCAAATTTGCACTGCACCCCCGCTATGCAGACCACATGCATCCTGAGCCTGGCTAACACCCAAAGCGCGAACAACCGTGTGCACAAGAATAAGCTTCTCGTGCCAGCACTTTTCAGATTCATGAGGAAGACGGCCACAAGCCCCATGAGGCAACATCCCAGCAGAGACATGAGAGTGAAGGAACTGTGGGAGAAGGCAAGCAGAGAGAGACGGCAAGCAGAGAGACATAGAGGAGACAGAGAACTGACAAAAAGTCTTGCAAGCCAGGCAAAAAAAAAAAAAGGGGCTTCTTCATGCCTTGCTCAAAGCGAGAGCAACCAGAAATAGACAGTCGTGCCCCAGGGCATCAGCCCGTGTCACACGATTTCTGCAAGACAGGACAGAGTCCCCATCATGTGGGCCAGGGAGGGACTCTCAAATAGCCATCACACAGGATTAGATTGGGTTTTGTTTGTGAGGGTCTGGGCTTGTTTGGGTACCACTGGGTTGCTTTACATCAGAGTTGGTTCATGCAGGGTTGGACCTGTTTCATAAAGGATGGGTTTTGTTTAGGGGGGGTTAGCTGGGGGGTTGGATTTCTCCAATCTGTTTGGCTTTGCTTGGAGTTCGGTTGATCAAACAACAAAGAAAAAGCAAAACAAACTAGGGAGACCAACAAAAAAAAAAAAACTTATTTTCTCCGTAAGCTGTTGCCTGTTTTGGAAGCTGTGCACTCTTCTGAAAGGCTGTTCAACTGCCCAGGGCAACACATGAAAGTCTACCCTGCGGGTTCTAAACTGCCACATGCCAACTTCTTGGACGCCAAACGGTAATATATGCACTTTGACACTCATAGGCCTCACTCCACTACTCTCGATAATTTCATCTCGAAAATTGAGTGGATCATGTCAGACTCTCGATTTCATCCATTCTCAATTTCAGGTGAAACTGAGGCTTCGCTCCACATACTCTCAATTGTCACCACTATCCATTCTTCTTTTTCTTTCACTCCAAACAAGGGAAAATGACAAGAGAGAGAGAGAGAGAGAGAGAAGAAAAGGAAGTCGGGTCCCAACTCTCGCCCAACTCTAAAAAATCGACGGCTGTGGAGAAGGCCATCGATTTTTGAGAGAATTTCGCAAGTCCTCTCAAAGGGATCTTTCTGACAGCTCTCAATTGATTTTCGAGAGCTTGCCATCGAGAGTGTAGTGGCGCAGCCCACCATATGCAAAGTCGAGAGTAGTGGAGTGAGGCCCATACTAGTATCAGAAGGGTGATCCCAATGGATCATCCATCCATGTGCAGAAAATGGATGGGGTGAGAACCACAACGCCACAATAATCAAAGCTCTGATGCCATAGAGAAGCGCACCTACCAGAATGCGGAGCCTCGACCTCACAGCCGTTGCAAATTTATCCCCATTTGAAGCCAGATTCTCCATCCGCGAAAGAACTCGCCGTAAGACCAGCTCAGGAGCAGTCTGAGCTAAATCAAAAACCTGCAGCACACCGCCACAGCACAAGTGAGTAGTGAAGCGCCATACACCAAGCTGACCATGTGCACCCCAATTGTCGCATACCGTAATGGCGCAGACCAGAACAAGAACCGACCTCTCTCACATAGTACAGGATAGCGCCGCGGAAGGCTAAAATACCAATGATCAGACCACTCAATGTCGCAACGCAGACCAACCATACATCATCATAATCACATGGTGTGAAGGGGCCTGGTGCTCACACAGGAAGAATGCGCCAGTCCCCAACCATACACAGACGAAGAGGGGAAGATGGAAATGTCGTCAACGCCAAGTCTTCGGTACAGGTCCCAAATAATCCCTCGTCCAATGTCTCTATCCCAGGGTCGAGTCTGAATCCAAATGTCGTCAAGTCTCAAAGTCGTAAATCTCTCTCTCTCTCTCTCTCTCTCTCTCTCTCTCTCTCTCTCTCTCTCGTAGTCTGTAGGTACTGAGAAGTCAGGTAGCCAGAGGGTGAGGGAGAGATGGTGGACTTGAGGAAGAAGAACTCTCTCTCCCTCTCTCTTGTACCAAGTACTAACCTGTGAAGGTGGCGCCTTGTTGCAGGTACATCGAAGACAAAGCTGGAGCTATAGCGCCACAGGTAAGTCTCCCTGGACTCCGCCAACTCTGTCTCTCTCTCTCTCTCTGCGCTGAAGACTACACCTAGCGCTAGCTACTTACTACTGCAGCGCTCCTCCAGAGTGCTGCTTCCAAAATCCTGAAGACTGCCTCCTTAACGGACCGTGAAGTGCCTGTGAACTCCCCGTGAACTACCTGCAGCCTGCAGGGCGGAGCAGTACTATATAGTGCTGGTCCAGCCTGGGAGGTTGCTCTTGCCCACGCCGAATCGTGCCAGACCCTGGCATTGAAGTTCAAACAGAGGTTGTCTTGAAACAAGCCCAAAAATGGCCTGCGCTAAACCCTGGTCTGGCGCCTAAGTTTCAGGGCACGTCGACTTTATGAGGGCCTGAAAATGGCCCTCCTTTTCAGGCTTTTAGGCTGAAACGACACAGGGCCTGGAGGGCCCTTATTTTCCGTCTGGTCGGGCCCTGCAGGCCTGTGTGGATGCGCAGTATGCCACACTGATACTGCCGAACCTCAGAAATGATGCAGTAACTCACTGGACAAAAAACTCATTATTTGAATGCTGCCAAACCCCCCAGCGATCCACAAGTACCTACGAGGACTCAAATGCGCACTCAATGTGTGCAATCGAGAAATGCACCACCAGGTCCACCACCTAAAATGTGTTGCAAACTTGTAACCTCAGAAATGATGCAGTAACTCACTGGACAAAAAACTGATTATTTGAATGCCGCCAACCCCCCCAGCGATCCACAAGTACCTACAAGGACTCAAATGCGCACTCAATGTGTGCAATCGAGAAATGCACCACTAGGTCCACCCACCTAAAATGTGTTGCAAACTTGTAGTTGACCCCAAGCCATATCTGAAACACCTATGGGGTACTTTGGCTGAATGGTGCGCCCATGAACTGTTAATAATAAGACCTGAGTTCGAACCTTAATGGAATCAGATGAGTAAATAACTCTCAATCACGTGAGGGCAGTAGATATATCAAGGCCGCTGTCCCTGGGAAAAAAGACACACGAAAAAAACAGCTGTTGGGCAAACCAATCCCTTGCACCAACGAATCACACCAAAATCAACACTCGAGACGCACTGCAGCTCAGGAGCGAGGGCAAAAATACTCATCATGACTATGATGCACAAAAACGCCAAGGGACAGTAGATAACCACTCAGAAACTAACACTGGGACTCACAATCATTACAATGCATCGGAGTGACCCACAAGTAGTCGCATTGCTTTGGCAGGTGAGGACCACACAGACAAAACACTCGCCATGATGCACCAAACAAAAGGGACATCATAATTGTCAAGGAATGTCCAAAAGCGCTCAGAAACTAACACACAAGAAGTGCCACAACTTAGGCCCGAATAAGGGAGCAAGGGGACACAAGAACCATCGCAGTTTAGGTACGAATGAGGCAGCAAGGGGGGGGAGAACGGTCCTCTGAAGTTGCCATTCTTAAAAAAAAAAAAAAAACCCTAATGATCATGATGCACCGAACCCTGATACACGAGAAGACTTGGAGCTGAGAGGTGTGGGTGACAGAGCAAAGGGACAAATGCTCCTCGTCATGGGGCAAACAGAAGAAAATGTGTCGATGACTCGTTGAAAATTCCAAAAAAAAAAAAGCCAACAAATGGTAAGAACTCATCATCTCTGCTGGCGTCCTTCCAACGCAGTATATAGGCCTCTTTATCCAAAATGTTTAAATGTGTAGATTGTCCATCCTTTAAACCACCAGTACATTTAGAGAATCATGAATGAGCCTCTCTGAAAAGTTCGAGGAATCGGGACAGGGCCCACCTGGGGCCAGGCGGATTTTGTTTTCGTTCAGTGCTGCGGCTGGTACCACCCCAAGATACGGGCAATATGTTTCCCGCTCGCCCTTTGCAGGCCCCGACTTGAGCCCCTGGAATTTTAGGAGAAGCTCAATCGCGACGCTGGGGCTATGTACAGGTGATTTAACACCAAAAGTGTGCAGCAAGTGCCAGCAAACTTGTACTCCACCCTCGCGATCGGAGCGCTCACTTCCCCTACATGCCCTAACAAAGCAGTTAGACATGGAAAACACAAGGCGCCTCATAGCTGAGGTCAAAAAATGAAATAAGAGAGCAAGGGGCCAAACGCAAGGAGCTGAAGTCTGAACGGAATAATCACAAATACAAAAGCCAGAAAGGAGGCAAATACTCATCATGACGCAGCCAGCACGAGGAATGGAAATCCAAAAAGCCTGAAATAGTAAGGACTGGTTGTCTCCGAGCATCCTCCCGACACAGGATGTTCATCAGTAGGAAAAGACATGGCCTTTCATTCCCTCCAAGTTGACTACTCAGACCAAAAAAGACCCCTATGGAAAGGATATGCCCTTGCCTTCCCTGCAGGATGACTTTGTATATCAACAAAGATCTTTACTAACAATAAACAGCACTTCGGATCTCATCAAGAGAAACTGCTACGACAGGAGGACAAAGGACATGACTGCCACTTATCAGTACATGCCAAGCCTGCCACAGTCAGAATGTACATGGACATGCAGACATCCAGGGGCATGATCCTCGCCAGAATATGCAGTCATCCAGGTACATTCTGAAAGTGGCATGCTTGGAAACACAATGATAAGAAGTGGCACCTGCATCCTACCCTCCTGACAACGTCCACATCCGACCAGGTTCGTTCTCCCAAAGCAGTTGACATCGTTGCCAATGTCAGAACAAATCCGGACATGTTCGGACAAAGGCACAGGTAATCCTATCTGCATAGATAATGGTATCCCATATAAAGCAAGAGGTTAGGAACACCAACTCAAAGGACAAGTCCAAGTTTCTGAAAAGGATCCAAAAAAGGCCTGTCAACCCCTTCTCCCCCAACCGCCCCTCCCCTCCCCTGCCCGTTTGGCCCAGCAAAGGGGAAACTCGATGGAGCACATCAAAAGAAGCACAAATCTGACACCAATGCGCACAATGCTTATCGAGGGTGAAAGAGTACACGTTCATTTCAGGTTTTCTCGAGGGGGTACGGGCCCTGATATTGTTGTATGCGTCTGATTCCTGTTAGGATTTGAACTCCTGATCGGTTCATCAACAGTTCATGTGCTTACCAGTCAGCCACATAGGCTGGGTACAACCATTTCAAATTGATCATGTTCGAAGGGGCAAGAATTAATTTGCAGTCATTTCGCAGTGGCAAACGACCCACAAGAGGAAAGGTCCTGTGTCCACTTTGGAGGCTAAGTTTCAAAGTTCAGCTTGCACAGAAAGCAAAATTCCAGAATAGCCTGCTTCGTACTCGCACCCTTTTTTCAGTTCTTCGCTCTCGTCTTTCTCTATTTTCGCCCTTTCCTCTTGTCATTCACACGCCCTAAACTTGTAACAAATTTTAAACCACAAATATATCAGTCAAGGGGGAAAAAAAAGAAAAACGTTCCAAACTGAATTCCGAAAAAATGAAAAAAAAACAAGTTCCAAACTGCGCTGATGGGCACAGTACAGCTCTTGGCTGGGGTCCATTATAACTTTCCTGTTTTTTGTCTTTGGTCCAGAACTTGGAATGTGTCATATTATTTGTCAGGTACCTGACATGCAATCACACGTCAGGTGCCCCACATAATATTACAGTCTCCCCACGTACCTGACATATATCACATGTCAGGTATATATGTCAGGTACGTGCGACATTACTAAGTTCACCCAGGTACCGGACACATTACAACAGTCTGCCCGGGAAGGCCCACCTGAACCAAATGCTAGAAATGGGAAAGTAAAGAGCATAGTCAAACTGTGTGAGGGTGTGCTGTTTCTTTGGTAAACATAACTCTGCAAAAATGGGGAACAGTGACAGACTATTTTATCAGACTTTCACCGACTCATTAGGAGCCCAGAATGCATTCTCTGCATGTGTGTGTTCATGTTCTTTGTTGAGACAGAATGCTTTTTCTTTGTTGTTTAATCAACCGAACATCCACAGTCTGCCTAGAATGCATTCTCTGCATGTGTGTGTTCATGTTCACTACGCAGTACTCCACGGGAAAAAAAAGCAAGGACAGTGCCGGACTGTTTCGTCAGACTTTCACTGACTCAGGAGGCATGTGTGTGTGTGTGTGTTGTCTGTTCGCTGTACACAACTCCACAAAAAAAGGGACGACTGTACCAGATTGTTTCTTGTGTGTTTGGATTTTCACCACAACAGCCCCTAATCCACCCAGATGAATAGAACCCAAAATCAAAGCAGCTCGTGTCCTATTGCAGACAACGAAGCGCACTTGAGTTCAGACATTCCAACAATGAAACATTTTTACCCCTATAGCAACTAGCATCGAGCACAATAAATCCGTTGGCATGGCTTTGTCAACTATGTTTACTCTGGGTTTTCTTTGCTCTTGCAGCTCCCCT